TGCATGTGTGCATGTGTGCACATGTGTGTGCATGTGTGTGCATGTGTACATGTGTAAATGTGTGTGCATGTGTGTGCATGTGTATGCATGTACGGATGCATGTGTATGCATGTGTGCATGTGTGCACATGTGTGTGCATGTGTGTACATGCAAGTATGAATGCATGCGCACACACACACACACACATCACCATACATGTGCATGCCCTCCAGCCGCCCAGGCACACCGTCTGCAGCCCTCCCACCCCCTTCTCATCCAGGACCGCCGGCTTTACCCTCGAGGAGCGTGCCGGCTTTTCCAACCTCCTTCAGACCGGTCAATTGACCGACGTCATCCGCCAGCGACACCCCGGCCAGGCCGGCCTCTTCACCTACTGGGGCGTCCGCGGGGACACCCGCGGCCCGAACTCCGGCTGGCGACTGGATTACTTCCTGGCATCGCACGCCCCGGCCCCGGAGCACTGTCGCCCTGCCCCGGGACAGGACGCCAGCCGGGCGCTGGTGGACCGCGTCCGTGGCGCCGGCATCCGCCAAGCCGTCTGGGGCACCTCCGACCATGTGCCGGTCTTCCTGCTGCTGGAATCCACCGCCGCCCGGTGTCCCGACCCAGCCCCGACGCCGGCCAGCTGAGTGTGGCCTCTCCCTCTGCCCCCCTCCCCCGGGCAAAGGCACACGGCTGCAATACATTCCCACGCAAATACACACATACATCCATACATTCACGCATATGCACGGCAGACAAAGCATGTTGCATTCGGTCTCCCGGGACACAGGCAGAGGCACGGGCCGGGCGCACACAGCGACATGACGCAGCTGTCACACGCGCGCACACATACACGCCCGGCACAAAACCTTCCCCACACGCAAGCAAGGGCACGGCCCCTGGAACATGAGCCCCCGGCAGCCAGGCGGAATGTCTCGTTGAGGCGGAGGCAAGCAAAAGGCGAGCAGGAGCCGGCGCAGGCAGGGGGGGGGGATGCCCCAAAGACTCCCCAGCGGACGGCCTCCCAACTGGGGGGGGGCCTCTCCCACATGGCCGGCGGGTGGCGCTCGGCCAAGGCAACAACGCGCACGGGCCGGCAGGCCGGTCAGACGCGCGACCGCAGCGCAAAGCCCCCGTCCACGGTCAGCACCGTGCCATTGACGTAGGCCCCCCCGCGCGACAGGAGGTAGATGACCGCCGCGGCCAGATCCTGCGCGTGGGCCTCCCGGCCGCCGACGGTCGCCCCCAGGATCAGCTCCTGGAACCGCTCATTCCGAGTGATGACCTCGGTCATCTCGGTCTTGAAGTACCCCAGAGCCAGGGCATTCACCGCAATCGGCGCCACCGTGGTGAAGTAGCTGGCCAGTGCCCGGGACAGGTGCACCGCCGCCGCCTTGCTGGCGCTGTAGGCGAAGTTCGAATCGAACGGCCCCACCGAGATGCCCATCACACTGGACACGATGAGCACCCGCGCCGGGTCCTCCGGGCTAGCCGCCTGCTCGAGCAGCGGCAGGAGCCTGTGTGCCCCGCCGCCGGGAGAGGGGGACGAAGGAGCCACGCACATCGGAGCACGGGAAGGAGGCGATCATGAGGTTAGATGGCCGCCCCAGGGGGGGAGACAACCCGCGCAGCCGCCGGGAGGCGAGGCTGCCTTTTCTTTTTTTCTCTTCGCCCGCGCCGGCCCTGGCCCTGGCCCCGTCCCCGCTGGTCCCGCTGTTCCCGCTTGAGGGACGTACGCTCGGGTCATGAACATGGTGCCGTTGACATTCGTGTGCATCACCCGCTCGAAGCCCTGGTCGAAGGTGGACCCCGGCGTCAAACCCGCGGCCGGCTGAATGCTCGCCAGATCGTCATTGGTCAGGGCCTCGTCCGCGTCGTCGGTGGCCACCGGCCCCGGGGCCTGGATCGAGGCATTGTTGATCAGGGCATTGACGCGCGTTACGTTGTACGGCGCCCGGGCCAGCGCGTGCACGAACGCCAGGCAGCTGGCCGGCGAGTCGATGTTGCACGCCGGCCCGGCCACCACACGCCCGGCAACCTTCCGCGTGCGGAAGTACGCCTCCGCTGCGGGGAACGGCCGTCAGAGCCCAGCGGCCACGCTGCCCCCCGGGGAGGGCGGGCGAGAGAGAGAGAGAGAGAGAGAGAGAGA